CCCCCCCAACATCTGCTTGTCTTTGCAGCTGTGCCGAGAACTGCGGGCAGTGTGGCGGCGTGGGCTGCGGCACCATTCCCGGAACAGGCGGTTCGGAGGCCTGCTGTTCCAGCACCATCGCCATCAACGGCACCGACTGCCTGGACACGCTGGCGGCCCCGTGCATCATCGGCGACTGGGTCCCTACCCCTTCCCCCACTGTGTTCGAGTCGGCCGCCCCCGTTCGTGAGTCGAAGACACGAGTAGAGCACGCATATACCGTTGGTGTGCGTTTGGAGGTGTTGTGCTTTGGTCGTCGTGGTGGACAGCAGGGTATGTATGGTGGTATGCACTTTTTTTCCCGCAAGGTGTCCCTATGGTACGTACATCTGTATGGTGGATCGGATCGATATGTGGCGGCCGTGGTGAGCGTCGTGGACGGCGAGGCATGGTGGTATTGGCTCTCTTTCCGTCAATCATCCCCTGAGTACATCGCATGGTACACGGTGGGCGGGATCGATATATGGGTATCGTGGTTGGTGTGGTCGGACACCAGGGGGTGGTGGTATCCACCCCCTTTCCGTCAGTCAATCCCATTGTGCATGGGCCTGATCAGTATTGAGATGTGCCGTGATCGTTGTCATGGGCGCGGGGTACGGTGCTTGTTGTTGTTGTTGTTGTTGTTGTTGTTGTTGTTTCTCACATTAGCATCTGTAGTCCACAAAAAACGAGGAGCCCGCGGTCTCAAAACCCGGCACATACGACGCCGCGGGGAAACAAAGCAAAAATAGGGTACAAACCACTCGGAAAAAGAAAACAAAATGGTAGAAAGAAAATAACAGGTACCGCACCGACCGTTCGAGAAAATAGCCCTCGGAAACCGATCAAGATAAAACAAAAACAAAAATAAAGGAGGAAGCTTCCCACACCCACCTAAGAAAAAATCAAAGGGTAACGTACCAGTGGTGTCCACCCCTTTTCCGTCAGTCGTCCCGTGGTACACACCATGGTACATGGGAGATCGGATCGATACGGGCGTATCGTGGTGGTCGTCATGGACAGCAAGGGTATGGTGGTCGGCATCCACACCTTTCACGTTGACTGGTGTCAGATCGATACCACGTCGTTTTCACGGATGACCCGCTGTAGTTTTGTTCCGATGATGATGCTGGTGTCTTTAGCTGCCGTGTTTTTTTTTATCGGCGTCGGTTCTCATAATCTGGTTCGAAATGTAACAAAATGGTATCAATTCGTACATGTACGATGTGCATACCAACTTCTTATTCGCATATCCCCCCCCCCCCCCCCCCCNATCGACGTGCAGCAATGGGCTTCCTGGATACCAAGACGGGCAAGCTTGCTGCTTGGTGAGTCGTGGTATGAGTACAAGACGTGGGAGTAATGGTAGTTTTGGTAGCAGCAGCAAGAGCTATAATTGTAATTGTAGGAGTAGAAGGTGTTGGTGGTGTCGCTGTCGACCGTTTCGGCAGACCCACCTACTAAGCGACTGCTATGGGGACGGGCGTGTATTTTTTTGTCCAATCTGTTCTAGGCGACAGTCTTTTCTACGGCATTCGGTCTATGTTGAACGGACCTGGCGAGGTCACACAGAAGGAAGGCAAGCACTTGAGCGTTGTTTTTCCTTCTACGCGTGTGCGCTGTCATGTTTCCGTCGCTCTGCAGCTGAATTGCGGTGGCATGTGCAACTGCTGTAGGACGATCAACACTGGAGCCGTTCATTTGTTTCTTTTAAAATTACGTATTTCCTCCTGTGCGCGATTGTGCGTCCCTCTTGTTTCGCTCGCCTCTTATTTTAGATGAATTGTGGCATGTGTGGCGGCGACGGGTGTGGATCTGTCAACGGAACCGCCGGTGCATCGGACTGCTGCCCTTCCACGATTATCAACTCCGCGCGGGTATGCGGTGGCGACATCGTGGCTCCGTGCATCATCCCTGGTGAGAACACCCTGTGTGCACATGCAGCTACCGCTGTGCCCCCCGTCGATGAGACTGTTACACTGTTCGCGTACGTAGAGCCCCAGGCTTTGTTCTGAGTGGATCTTGGTTCATTTTTGCTGCTGGGGACACTTGCAGCTGTGTATATTTTACGCAGAGCCCCAGGCTTCATTCTGAATGGATGTTGATTCATAATCTGCTGGTGGCAGTTGGTGGCGGATCAACCACAGACTGATACACCCGAATCGAACGGATCTGTTAAAGTACGCAACGTTCACCGACTCACCACGCTGCCCCCCCCCCCCCCCCCCCCCCCCCCCCCCCCCCCCCCCCCCC